ATTCTTTTGTTAAACGACAGAGGATTTGAGCTTAAATTAGGCCTCCACTCACACTACTTGGCCTGCCCGTGCCTGTTCTCTCCAAGGAGGCAGGGCCTGGACTCTGACTGAGATCTTACTTTAGTCAGGAGAACATGAAGCTGGATTGACTTCATCAGCCTGCCACCAACTCAAAAATTGTGACTCAGACCTGACCTGTCTTTGCAAATATACTCCTGCCTGCAGGAGAAGGACTCCTTATCTTAGCCAATTCACTAAGCCTTCCCTTCATTAACATGAGGATGTCTTGCCCTCTAATGAGATATCTAGATATTAATAGGTAGATTAGATAAAGAGACATATTATATATACACATTATTTGTGTTGATATTAAAATAAAATTTAACTCTTCCAAATTAAAAAGTATAGCATTTCAGAAGCTCTATAAGAATTCTCAAGCGTAAACATTATCACACCCTAAGCCATAACTTATCAAACACCATTAGTCCATTAGCTACCCCCTTTCTGAACTCAAGGCAAATCCAACTGTAGAAATAAATACCAAACATATTGTCATGTTCACACTATACATCACATTTGTTTGAAAATGTGACTATAACATCAATTTTTATTTTCTCAAATATATACTTCTTTTTCTAGTATCAAGAGCTTTGATAAAAGGCTAAATATATATCAACACCTCTCCCATATGACAACATGTGTATTTAAGGGGAACTTTAAATGTTTCTAATGGATTTGTATTGAACTCAAGAAAGCATTGTTTTGCAAGAAATGTTAGCTGTGCAAAAAAGTACCTCTCTTTTTCTGCCAATGAATTTGTTAGCTTAAGGATAATTAAGACTCCAATCTAAAAAACGTCTGTTTAGTTTGCAGGTTAGTACCTTGCATGTTCAAATGCATTCCAGATGAATGAAGATGTTTCTCGGGACTCAGAATGTCCTTTAAAAATCTCTTACTTTCCACTGGAAAAAGAATAAATCAAGAGCGTAAAATGATTGGGGGTCTGAGTTAGACTCTGGATCCTCTGGCTGTGATCACTTTCTCTAGGAAGACTCCATCGAAGTTTTCAATGGCTAAATGCAATTTTCGCCCCATCTACTATTCCAAATCAGAACGATGTGCATGCTAGCCTTGCTAGTAACTAACGTTAGCGTAGATATGCTAATATGACTTCACAATTAAAGGACAGATTCTAGTGCTTTTTTACCACTAGCAATTTTCTCCTTACGATTGGGACCAAGTTGATGACCTAACTTACATTATTTTTTCCTTCAATTTAGTATAGTTGACAGTGAACTCAGTTCTTCCCACCAGATCATGCCTTTGGCGGTGGAGTTCCTGACGGATGTTAGCTGGCTCCAATTTGTCCTCCTTGCTTGCTGAGGTGACCAGACCTCTTTGCACCAGAGGGACTAGAGCCATTCAAGCCAACACCCACACAGGGTGGAACTGATTCTCCCTAGACATAAATCTGCCAGATTGTCATCATCTAGATCATCCCCCTGCAAGGGCAGAGAAGTAAAAGCAAGCTGAATCATAGATTACTTCACAGCTTATAGCTAATAAAATAACAAACTCAAAAGTTAATGCAATTATTTTCCTGAGTTCCAGACCATATACTGAGACAATTGGCTAAAAAGTAAATATACACATATATAATATATATGTATAAATTTATGTATAAATATATAATATATATGTACAAACATACATACATACATATATATATATATGGTAAGAAACTCAGATATTCAAAAATTTTCTAAAGATACTCAAAGGTATTTGCCAAAAAGATGGAAATTAATGTGTGAATAACATTCTAAATAAAACATTTTTAAAGTAAATTATATACTTAAAAACTCCATAGTATACTTATTGAACTTATTTATTATAAAAATATGCTAGATAATACAAACTACCAAGGTTATTTTTGGTAGTTACTTCAAATTCAAACTGAGAGATTCTCAAGTAACACCCAAAGTCTTCACCTTTCTTGTATTTCCATTTCCTTCCTTCCCTTGTGTTTTCTCAGAGATGAGTATGGCCAGTTCAGATAGAAGGATGACTTAAATGGAGGTAAGAAGATATTAATCAAACTGTATAAGGAGATTGTGGGGATAGGAAACAATGTTTCCTCCGTAAAAGACAAGTGGAGCTGAATTGAAAATAGGAAATGTATGAATATGGCAGCTCACACCTGTGAGTAGCTCCTCAGTAGCTACTCACTCCCGTGAGGAGGAGGCTAAGGTTTGCTTGAACCTAGCAGTTAGAGGCTGCAGTGAGCCAAGATCATGCCACTACACCCCACCCTGGGTGACAGAGGAAGTTCTTGTCTTTAAAAAAAAAAAAAAAAAAAGGAGAAAGGAAAGGAAAAAAAAGTAGAAAAAAATAGCTATCATGCATATGTATCTTTGATGTTGTTGAAGATGGTTTGAATGCAAAACCTAAAACTTTACTCCTACAAACTATAATTATATTCGACTTGTACAGTTTTGTCCCTCAAGTTGTATGTGCTTTATTCCAATGAACTCTAATGAGAAATCATCCCCTGAAATATTAAGGGCTGTTCTAGTTACCATTGCTGAGTAACATATTATCCCAAAGCTTGGGGACTTAAAATGTGCTCATGATTTTGTAAATCATGAATTTGGGAATACCTTAGGTAGGCAACTCTAGCTCAGGGTCTCACATATGGTTGCAGTAGACGTTATCTGAGGCTCCAGCCATCTGGAAGCTCCACTGGGTAGGATGTTTGAGAAGGGCTGTCTCACCTGGCTGGTAGTTGGTGATGACTATTGACTGAGATTCAGCTGAGGCTGTTAATAAGAGTGCCTACTGTATGTGCCCTCTTTGCCTGGCAGTCTTGGGGAGGTCAGGATTCTTATGTGGTCTTCAAAAGCAAGTATTCTAGCTGCAATACCTTTTCATGATCTGGAATTAAAAGTCACTCAGTGTTACCTCTGCCACATGCTATTGCCTAGCAGCAAATCAGATTCAAGGGGATAATTAGACATCCTCTCTTGATGGGGGAAAGGCAAGGCTCTAGAAGAATATGTGGCACTGCAGATGTTATTGCAGCCATCTTTGGAAATTCTGCTATAGATATTCAAGGAATTAATTAAAATACACTGGATTTAAATGGAGATAGATAGATTGATTGATGTATATGGTTTAAGGTATATAGTCAGCCCTTTGTATTCCTGAGCTGTGCATTTGCAGATTCAACCAACAGCAGATCAAAAATATTCAGGAAGAAATATTAATAAAAAATAAAACAATTAAAAATTACAAATAATAAGCAATACAGTATAACAACAAGTTATGTAGCGTTTACATTGTACTAGGTATTAGAAGTAATCTAGAGATGATTTGAAGTATACAGGAGAATAAGGGTAAATTATAGGCAAATGTTACCCATTTTAGAAAAGGGACTTGAGCATTCATGGATTTTGGTATTTGAGTGGGTCTCAAGTATGCACATGATTGTATGGGACTGTATGCACAATGGCAATTAAGATCTGCTGAAAGCAATTCCTCTAGGTTGAGCTTCCACTCAAGGAAGTACCCCATTGAAAAGACATGGCATAAGGGAACAGTTGGGAATTGTTCTTATAGGATAAATCTCTTACTTAGTAGCATCCCAGCAAAGGCTTAGAAAAGGAAGGAAAAGAGAGATGCAGAATGCAAAAGAAAGAAATGAAAGAGAAGGAAAGAGGGGAAGGGAAGGAATGGCAAGAGAAGGGAGATAAAACATCGCAACCTCTTTCTGCCAGGTAACCCTGAGATGTGTTACCAAAGCAACCACAACTTAATTGAGCAGGAACTCATGTCTCTTTTTGTCATGGCCCATAGACATGCTGTTTGCATGTATGCTCTTTCTTCCCTCTGCTTATAGATTTACCTGCTGAGACTCAACTCAAAATGAAGAGCTATAAATACAGAGAGGAATCAAGTATTTGTTTTTATCCACTGTCTCCAATGCCCTGATTTTGATATTTTTCCACTTTAGAAGTCAGGAAGACTCAGTGTTAGGCTGGCTTTAAAAAATACTTTTAGGAGTTAACTTATTTCTCAGAGTCTCGAGCAAATTAAATAGAGTTGTATCTCCCTTGGAAATTTGAAAGGATGTACTACTAACATTTTCCTGGCCTTTTTGAGTATTATCTTTGCTTAATTTCCTATTCTCTAAATTATTTATTCAAACTTCTTCTTAAACCACAAGCCAACTAATTTCTATAAAGGTTTAATATTCTCCTAGGCACTTACGATGTGATTAAAGATAATTAATGGCTTTTCAGTGCCAAGACTCATCTCTTTTTGGATTTTCTAATGCCCTTCACAGTAACATCTTAATATATTTATATTTGCCTGGCACATATTTTTTTAATGGGAAGGAAACTGTAACGTTTATTTTTAACTAACTGGTTGAATGCAAAAAATAGACTTTGCCCTTGGATTGTCCTTGTTTGTTGTGTGGGTATCAGGAGAATGAGGCAAGCCAGGCTGTGAGGAGTCTGTGGATCATGGCTTTGGCAGCGTGGAACCTGGGACATAGAGTCCCCCTTGATAGGTCTGTTCAGCAGACCAACTTTGTTGTAAATATTTAGATAGAAATGGGCTTTAGAGCAGCCACATCTGAAGACCCACAAGGCTGAATGTTATACCGGGTGTGTATTGTTTATGGCTGTGATAAATGTTTAAAAGGGAGAAATCCAATTGACTCTTGTTGTGATACTGTTAATTAATTGCTTGTGGTGTCTGTTCATCAAGTGTGAACATAGAAACCTGTTAGTTCACTTACCACAGGGGCTGGACTTAGCAGATGGGAAAAATATTATTTTGGCATGTTTTTAATGGCAGCACAATTTATTTTTATCTAGCTCTCTTTAGTGTATGAAAGGATACTGCCACCTGTGCTTTGTGGATGAGTGTCAATGATTCGGACAGATTAATTTATGCCTTAGTAGACAACCACAAAAGATTGCTGAGGTAGAACTCACCTTCTGGCCAGCTTGACATGAACTTCAATTTTACTTCATTTTCCCAGACCTGGAAGATTATATTTAAGTAATATTATACCAAGTAGAATATAACCTGTACTTTCTCTTAATCATGGAAAGTACAAATAAAGATATAGACTTGTTTCCATACCTCTGTGTGTGTGTGTGCATGCTGTAAAATCTGACTTACCTAAATTCTGACATTTGTAACTGCTTTTTCAAATGCTGGAAGCACAGATACAACTTGAATGATGTAAAAGCACATTCATATTTTTAGCAATAAATCTTTGACTGTAGAAGATCATTTAAATAAATTGAAAAGCAGACCAATATTAACATTATGATTTATATGCTACTTGCTGCTAGAGACTTGATATAGAATACCAATTATGAAAATGGTATAGTGCTAGAATTCTTTCTAAATTATTACACACACATTATACTTTGCAAAGAGCAGGTTTGACTTAAATGTAAATTACCAGAGCTTTTTTTGCTCTTTCAAAGGACTATTTGTTGTTATTACCCAGTGCTTTTCTATCCCTCATAGTTGAAATAATTAAGATCATTTGCAGGGCCTGGTTTGCTCATTTTGCCTAGTTACATTGCTGCTATGGTCCATTATGTCTACAGGGGAGCACCATTATTTAATCTGAACATCTGGAATCCATCATGTGTAGTGAAAGACAAGATGTATCCTCAGTTTTAAGCCAACTCCATGATAAAATTGATGGATGGGACCAATGTGTATTGGTGAAGAAGATTGATACTTAAGATCTGTATGTTGTGATTAGAAGATCACAAGAAGACTTTTATTCTGCTTCATTTTTATTTTATTTCATTATATTGTATTTTATTTTATTTATGGCACAGCAATCAGAATCTGATTGAGGATAAACTCATTCTATTTGGGTCAGAGCATTAGAAGAAAGAAAGAACTGACATTTCTCAACCTTCTCTAGCTGAAGACTCTCTCTGGTGTAACTACCTGAAGAGTTCAAGAGGAATACTTTCCTGAAGAATCCCTGATCTGTCTTTAAGCAGCTGTAGAGAATATTCGCTAAGAGTAATGGGACACATCTCTCTCTGCCCACTTCTTTTCTCTTATCCCTGCAAGAAAGTGAAGTTTTTTGGAGTCAGAGGTTTATCTTAGTTTGTTGTAATCAGACACGTGTATGAAATCCAAAGCACACAATTTTCATTTTTAATAATATGAATCACCCCCCTGTTTATGTGCTTTCTCTGGTCCTTAAACTTTTTTTTTCCCTTTTTAATTTTAAGAACATCTGTCCCCACTGCAACTTCACTTTCATCAGGAAATCTAATTACAAAGATAGAAAAGAGTATAGCAGGTGAAGCAAAAGACAGCAGCTCCACCTCTTAATACTGAATACTTAGATGACTCCCCGATGAACAGCTGGATCCCTTTGTGGCTAAAAAACTAACTCTAACTCACCTGGTGCAAAAAAAAAAAGCAACTGATGGATCAAAGAAGTCGTGCAGATAACAGAGAGCAAGTGATGTGGATATGAAATACATTAGGGAGCATAAAAATGCAGTTTGGCCAGGATTTATTTCTAGTTATGCATTGATGAGGAGACGTAAGGGGAAAATTGTCAAATTAAAAAAAATTCTTTTGGCAAGTTTAAACTTTGCCTCTATCCTTTTTCTCTTAATCTGCTACCCAGATATGCACTTAAAATAGGAATGCGGGCCTACTGGGGCATGAAATAGTTGAGAACTATTCAACAATGAGGAGAATGAGAGAAATCTATTTAGAAGGACATTTTAGAATTAAAGCCAGTTGAACCTGAATAGTCACAGATAATTTAACATGACCTCTAAACCATTAGGCGGATTTTTATGACAAGGACTTGGCTCTGTATTAACTATGTCATCCTTCTTAGAAATTGATAACTATAGAAGTTATGCTATGTGATATAAGATGAGAATGACTGTGCTTCATGTTTACAAGAGATCAGAAATACAGGAAACCCAAAGGAGCTCCTTCGTCCTCTTCTCAGAGTCATAGTCATTCCAGGGAATCTGCACATCTTCTGGCTTTCCCATTTCTATCAGATGGTTACTTAGGAATAAATGAAAATCAGCAAAAGTGCCATGATAATTATCACAAATTTGTGTGAAATAATGAAGCAGTTTCATGCATTTTTTTCTATATGTTATCTCTGTTAATGAGCTAAAAAGGGTTTTCAGGTCCCTCTGAACACTTGGACGAGTGAGATTCTTTTAGTCTTGTCTCACTGATTCCCAAAGTTTATCTAAATCTTTCCAGAGGAGGACTTCTGTTGTCAACACTTGATAACCAAACCCTTTGTTTGCTTTTTTCCTACCATACACTACTTGTTAATCAACTTGCACAAAAGCAATTTTTGGTTCAACTATGTCCCGAGTGACTAACTGGCGATGATTTTATTTTGCAGGTGCAGTAACTTTGTTAGCTGTTATTTTAAGGAGCTCCAGCCATGTGCTCATTTGATAGATTTAATTGCCAACATCTTGAACAAAATCCTTGATTTTAAAACTTTAATTTAGCATATTTAGCACAAAAGCGGATTGCCAAATAAGTATCCCATTTGATTTGCTCTATAAGCAATAGACAACTCTTTGTCTTCATTTGACAAAGGTAGACACTTGGAAATGAAAGATGAAAGCTTGGAATGTGACCTGTAAGTCCAAAAATCACAGACCAGAAAGCAAGAAAGGACATGAACATCACATGTCAAGTATCCAGGAATTTCTAAGTATAATGCAGAACTTTGAGAATGAGAAATAATCTCTTCTCTCTCTCTCTCTCTCTCTCTCTCTCTCTGTGTGTGTGTGTGTGTGTGTGTGTGTGTGTGTGTGTGTGTTTTCTTTATCTGAGCATGTTTTTTATATACTGCCTTTTCTGGTAACTTCATTAGGTCTGCATAATTATAGTTTGCTTCAACCTTAGTCTGCATCAGTATTCATTATTATCTATTTGGTGCATTGTAGCAGCATAAATATAACTAAATTACTAGGGTCAAACCATAATGGGAGCTGTTGTGATGGTAATTAGAGCAGAAATAGTCTTTTTTTGGTAAAACTTGCAGAACTGTAGCATGAGGTGTGTTTTCTAGGGTACAATTAAAGTCAGGTTGTGGGTTCAAGGTGGTAAAATGATAGATAATGAAGGTACATACCATTAATCACAGTTCTGAAAGTTGCTCTGTATCAACTCTGTTCTCTCTGAAAGGTAGCTCCGAGGTTGATGCTAAGACAAAAACCAAGACAGGGCTTAGAGGTAAGATGCAAATTTCCATGCCTTCACTAATTGTCACTGGAAAGCTAAAATTGTATTGAATTATCTAAAAGGGTAAAAAGGAACTAGTAGATAGTCTCCTTTTCAACATCTCAATGTGGCTGTTGAAATTATTGAATTTGAATTTAGTGGAACAATGCTTTAATTCTATGTGTCTTTGTCATGTTGGGCTCAGTCTCTCACATGACATCTTTAGAATTTAGAATTTGCTATACCTTGAAGCGGAATCACCCTTACTGTCTTTACACACAGCCCATAATCCTGGAAAGCAGAAACAGAATTCCACTCTCATCTTCCTCAGTCTGTAGACTCTCTAAGTGTAGTGACTCTAGACTCAACATGAGCTATGTGGAAATGTTTCAAAAGAGAACAAGGCCTCAAAATTAATAAATATCTGCTGATTAACTTTTTTTATTAGCAGCAGCAAAAAATGGAAATAATTCTAAACCAGTAAAATATCTTATTAAAAACTCAATTGAAAAGTCTGTGTACCCAAGATGTAATAAAGGCTTACTCTTCAGGCACACAATTGAAGCCTTTGATCTCTACCTAGGACTGCTCATTTGATCTCATTTGATGTACTCCTGGCTACTTATTAAGCATGTACACATGCAGGATGTTCAAGCTTGTAGGCAACCTTTTCCAAACTAAGTTTTTTGACCTTCGTGGCTTTGAGGAATTTAAAAAACCATTTATGTTCTATGCTCCGAAAGTTTCCAATTTGGAAAGCTGTTTAAAGTCAGTGGTTGTTTCTCCAATAACTAACATAGAGCTTGGCACACAGTAGGCACCTTATAAATTTCGCTTTGAGAGAATGAATAAATGATTGGGTATAGCCAATGGATACAAAGGGGCCCAATAAGCTATGTGAATATTAAACCAAAAAATGGAAAAACATTTGGCCTCAAACTAATAACCACACAGAAAACTGAGCACATGTTTTCTGCTCTTGTTGATTTTCCAAAACACACAGTTAAGAAGTTTGTCATGTAGTGTCACACATAAAGGCTTAGACTGGGCCGGGTGCGGTGGCTCAAGCCTGTAATCCCAGCACTTTGGGAGGCCGAGGCGGGTGGATCACGAGGTCGAGAGATCGAGACCATCATGGTCAACATGGTGAAACCCCATATCTACTAAAAATACAAAAAAAAAAAAACAACTAGCTGGGCGTGGTGGCGCGTGCCTGTAATCCCAGCTACTTAGGAGGCTGAGGCAGGAGAATTGCCTGAACCCAGGAGGCGGAGGTTGCGGTGAGCCGAGATCGTGCCATTGCACTCCAGCCTGGGTAACAAGAGTGAAACTCCGTCTCAAAAAATAAATAAATAAATAAAGGCTTAGACTGGTGAGTTATTTATTGGATATGTTACTCATGATATAATCATTTGTGTATCTTTACATTACTTGTTCACTTTTGGATGATTTCACAATCAGTTATAGATTCTTTCAGCCCTCCTTTTTAAAGGTAACTTTCAAATTGTAGTTATTTTTATAGTTTTTATAAAGTTAGTTAAGTTATTGATTATAGATGACTTAGATTGTATGTTCAAATTTTAAAAACTGATTGATAAGCCAAAATTATGGTAGATTGAATAATTTTTTAGCAAATATCTGCTTTTTTTTCTCACTTTTTTCAGCTTGGCTGTTGGTCCATGGATGTTAGTAGATGTGACTTAACATCTATGTGGCTTGAAATGTGCTACATATGTGGGCTTGCTCTCCTGCTCTACCTTTTGCCATGAGAAGAATGTATCTCACTAGCCAGTGACCAGGACAAGGAAGATGAGAAATAGTTATAGCAAATCTATACCTGGCCTGTAGCTCTGAGCAAAAGCTAGTCAAACTCAGCCTCAGTTTGTAGACTCCCTGATGACCTGAAAAAATGAAAAAAGAAAATTAGTGTTTATGGTGGAAGGTCCCTAAGTTTGTTTGTTTTGTTACGTAGCATTGTTGAGAAAATAGCAGACTGATGCAACTATTTATGAATTAGCACCATTTTGCCTTTAGGCACGTCTTCTCCATGCAGGCACTATAACATAGGTTCCCTTAATCTTTACCATAATCTCATAAATTAGACACTATCTTATTTCCATTTTATATATTTGAAATCTGAGGCCTCAAGAGGTAAAGAGAATTTCTGGACAAGACTTGACACCAATTTCTACATATCCAAATCCCATGTTACATGCTGCTTCGTCCATTTAAATGTATCTTAGTGAGCCTGCCTCACTGTCTGGTACCTAGAAAGTCCTCAATAAAAACCAATTTGCTTAACTTTCCTTCTTCTTAAATCTTATTTATTATATTACATGGAAATATTTGATTAAAATAAGCTAACCAAGGTCTTGTGTGGAATAGGAAGAAGGATCGTGCATGTTTTCTTCTGATAAGGTGCTTCCAAAATAGGAGTGGAGGCAAAAAGTGTCAAACCTATGTAACAATCCTGCACAATCTTCACATATATGTGAGAACTTAAAGTATAATAATAATAAAAAAGAAGCTAGTATAACAATAAGAAGCTACCTATTACATATTTAACAAATTGAGATAGTAAAAAGCAGGGTCTCAATCCAGACATAATTAATTGAAAACCTGAGTATTTCAGTTAATAATCACTTTAGAAGGTGAGAAAAAAGAGATATGTGCAGTAATGAACAACGTATGCTTAATTCATTATTACTATCCAATCTCTCCTTAAAATGATTAAGAGTTGATTATAAGTATTTTATAGTCAGCACACTTACACTGTAATAGTACTACAGAAATTTTCTCTCCAAATGCGTAAAGTTGCACATCTCCTCCCTAAATGCATATTTTAAGTCAAATTATGATTTTTTAAAACAAGATCTATCCCTAAAAGATATTTCTCATTCACTATGACTGCCTGGAGTACCCTCCCTTTCCTTGTATGGTTGGTACAGTAAATTCCTTAACTATTGACTGAAGGACCACCTCTTTTCTTACACCTTTTCTGATATTCCCATACAGGTGGTCTTTCTCTCTCCCAAACTTCTGTAACAAAAAGGGCAAAATTTTAATAGATTTTTTACATTGCTTTATTTATGTCATCTTCCTATCTTCTTCCTTTACTCTGCTCTTTGAAGGCAGGTATTTTGGTCTCCTTTGTTAGCAAACTTAGTGTTTCACATGCAGTAGGCACTACCAAAATATAAAATAAATGAACGCAGTAAGTCTTAAGAACTCAGCCTTTAGGAAGAGAGAAAAATAGAAAGGTAATGATTTACAAAGAGAATTGAGAGAACTAATTATTGGTGCCAAGAGTGCAGGACTCAGTTAGGCTATTGAGTTATGATCAGTGGGGAAGAGAACTGAAAACAGAAAAAGAAAGAGATGTTCAATGGAAAGACAAGAGAGAACAATAGTGATAGAATATTTTCTTTTACTCAGTTGAAATTTTTTTCCCTTGAATCCTTGAGGTACTCTGTCAGATGGAATTAAGTATTTATCAGATAATTTTTATGCACATAAATAGGCTACATATATGACTAATGTAATGGTGTCCTTACATAATCAAGTTAATAAAATCAAATATATTCATTTAAAAAATCAATTCAGAACATTTTCTTCATTCCATCAACTTCAATGCCTATGTTCTTCCCCATGACCCCACTGCCTTCTGCTGTGAGAGGGAGGCTGAAGATGAAATGGTTAATGCAAGCCTAGACTCTCACAAGATAAATATAATTCTGACATTCCTTCAGACTACTACTGGAACTGAACTCTGGAAAAAATCCCCTTTTATCTCCCTCTCATCCACCAGACATACTTAACATAAAAATATAGAGTAATGAGAATACATTCTGAAGTAAATGTAAATGTTTTTCTCAAAATCAGCGACTTGTGGTATTACACAAGATACTGAATCATGTATATAACTAACATACGAAATGAGAGTTACACGGTGATACCAGTTGTTCCCAAAGGCTTGGTACACTTGCTGCAGTCTTGCAATGTAGTTTAGAATGAGGTAAGAGGAATTTAACATTGAGCTCTTTCTCTTAGTAGCTGTGTCCCAACATCTTCCTGCTAAAATAAATGGGGCTAATAAAAGCCATCTTAAATGGAGCTAATAAAATTTATCTATAAAAATAAGATATTAAATGAGAAAAATGTAGGTATTGGAGGCAATAAAAGCCTTCAATAAATATGAATGTCATCTATCTACCTGTCACCTATGTCTTCCATCTACATCAATCATCTATGTATCTATCTGATATTGTGGATTGGTAACCAGCATTCACTTGACTGAGATAATTCACTTGACTGAGGCATTCAACGTGCCTCCTGTGGAGAAATTACAGTAGAGCAGTACAGAATCTTAAGTTGGATATTCTGGGTTTGAACATGGGTTGTGTGACCTTGGGAAAATGTATTTAATCTTGCTGGCCTTAGCTTTTTTTAAGATAAAGGGAATAATAGTTTTTACTTCTTTAAATTATTATAAGGATTAAATGATCTAATACCTGTTGCAGTACTTAGAATTATAATTGACAAATAGCAAAGAGTAATAAATATTAGGTATTATTTCCACAGTTCTATAAAGAGCAAGTCAGTTTTAACTTTCATTTTATCTCTTTTTTTCACATAAAAAGGAAAAAAAGGAACAGTGCCTATAAATGGTACTAGAGTAACTTAAAGAGAAATATCTTATAATGTGCTTAAAATTATGGAAAGTTTTTCAATTCTAGCCTGAAATTTATAATCAGTTCTAAGTAATTCCTTAAGTCTAATTGTTAGGTCTTTTCAATCCTTGGGTTTTCAGATAAGCTAACCAAAGGATTGACTGCAGTAAATCAAGCTTTTCAAGGTATTATCATTCTGTTAACAATAAAGCTGAGAAGATAGATTTGTTTTATATTATTTTCACATGCTAATACTAGTCAATGACCTGAGCAGAATTTGAACTGGCATTCTTGAAAATAAAGATTCCCTTTACAAATCCTTTAACCTCTAATGCAGTCATTTTAATTCACAACAGGCTAGAACCTTGTATAATTGTTCTCAGCTCAATACAGTGTTTAACAGCTTTTGATTTACATATTGGGCAGCTGTTTTGAATAAGAAGTTGTCCATCATGGATCCTTTTGTCATCTGTCCAAGGAATGTGTTTATAAATGGTTCCAATTAGAGTAATGAAGGATTCATGTGAAAACAATGATCAATAGCTAACCTAAGAAACAATATAAGTCAAAGACAGATGTAAACTGTGACCAGGCATAAACACAGTTAAGTTGTCTATGAGGAAAGTATATCATCGCTCCTGGAAAACAAATGGAAATTTTCAAGTCTTTGACTATTGGACAGACTTTGATTCCACGACACAGAAGCATTTAGATTCTGTGTTAAATAAATCATTGACCCACATATGACTGAGACTATGCAGATTAATGAGAACAACAGCGGCCAGGGAAAAGACAGTTCAATGAAGCCAGCTAGATCAGGTCCTCACTGTGAATTATGGACTGCACCCCATCAGTCTTCAGGAACAGATGTCTGTAGCTATAAGCAGCAGCCACGTCGATAGTGAAGTTTCTGTGCAAACATGTTTCAGACTATGTCAGACACATCTGGTCAAGGGCTTTGTAATAGCTTTATTTATTTCTTGCCTGAACGGGAACGTCAGAAGCATGCACTCCACATTAAGCCAAGAGTTCCCTTTGTTCCACACGGCTGCCACAGCTGGAACCTTTTGTTGGACGATACAGCCAGATCTTCTGTAGAGACCATTATATTCTTTGGCGTATTTCAGTGAGTTTGCATCTTTTAATCCACCTCAGCAAGCAGTGGGGAGTTCATAAGGGACATGCACAGGGCCTTCTCTTAAAATTGTACAGAAACACCAGCTGGGATTGCAAAATTGATAGCGTCAAGGTGGCCTGCTACCAAGTTGGCCTTAGTGAGATGTGCTGTCTGCCATAGCCCTGTTTGCTTAGATCATTTAGGAAAAAAAACATCAAAACAGAAGTAACTTCTCATTCCTGTGTGTTGAAGTTGCTCATAGGTTACTCTCTGCAGCCAAGAAGAAAAAAGGCCAAAGAAATTTTGTCATAGACTATAAGATCTGTGTATGATGCACAGTTTCATGAGAGTTACTATAGAAACGTCTAGCCTACAAAAGTAGAAGGAATCAGTTAAAACAAAGTTCTGCCTAGATTTCTAATATAACTAGAGCTGTTTATTCTCTCTCCCTCTCTCTCTCTCTTCTCTCCTTCTCTCTTTCTTTAACCACACTAATTGAAAGCCCAATTTCCATGTATAAAACATATAAAACATCCTTGAGGAATCATAAGTTAAAAGTACGTGGGGGCTGAAAAGCATGAGCAGATTCTCCGAAATGTGCACCAAAAAGTCCTTAAGACACATTGAATGATTGTATTTGACGTTGTTGTCAGAAGTTTGGTACCTGCTTTTAGTTTTCAGAAACACAGTCTCAAACATGAGAGTAGCTCTGCTCCAGCCTTGGAGAGCAGAGCACTACTGCTACTCCAGGGGCACCCACCCTCACTTTGCCTTTGCCATATCCTTTCTACCAACTGGCCCCCAGTTTGGATAAGAGCTGGCCTAGCCTTTCCAGTTGGCAAGCCAATGGCATTCACCTGCATTTCTCTTGCTAGTGACCCACTTAACTAGTGGTTAAGCTCCAATTTCTTGGCATAGTGCTTATTGTAGATGGTACTCTTGACTAAAACTGACCTCCAAATTCATCTCCTGAAGCATCCCCATCAAGAGTGTCTGATGGAGGGGCGGGTGCGTTTGTACCCCAGCACTTTGGGAGGCCAAAGCAGGCAGATCACAAGGTCAGGAGATGGAGACCGTCCTGGCCAACATGGTAAAACCCCATCTCTACTAAAAA